GGGGCCCTGCCCTGGGGAGATGCGAGCCCCTGAAGGAGGAGGCCACCTCGGCCGAAACAAACATAAGAGCTCGGCGAAATATACCTGTTGCCCCCAAGAAGGCCATAACGTGTCTCCTTGTGTTCCTTTGGCAGCAACAGCCCTGGCCCCGCCCGCGGACCCCTCCCTCCTCCGCCCCTATCAACGTAAACCGTCGCGTTCCCCGCACCGCCCCGCGCGCCCCGCACCAGTCTTACCCTGCAGCTTTGCCCTGAGCCTTTGAACGGTGTTGGAGTCGCTTGAGGAAAACGTAAGGACGGAAGACATAAGAAAAAATACTCCAAGGAGAGCATGGGGAGTAATTCATAGGTATTTGCTTGGTTAACCGTGGGTAAACTGTAGTAATCTAACGATAACCACCGATTAACCAGAAGCATTTCTGGGCAGTTACGAGGTATTCAGTTGTACCGTGTGGACCGTGTGTTGCTTTGAATGAGCTTCGTTGCGAGTTTGGCTATACCCTTCGGTTGTTTGGCACCACACACTGTTAAACCAAGGGTGAGTCTGCTATACTTTAACTAATGTGGAGCAGTGCCTCGCATTGGCTAATGTGGGGCACCCCCGCGAGAAGGCCCGACACTTTACCCAACGTAAGGCGCAGGGTGTTCTGCTACGTTAGATAATATGAGGAACCAAGGTGCTCCACATTAGCTAATGCGTGACACTAGGTGCTCTACATTAGCTAATGCGAGACACAAGGTGCTCGCTCCACATTAGCTAATGTGGGGCACTAAGTGTATGCACAGAAACACCCGATGCCTCGAGCACCTCGAGTCGCGCAGAGTTAAGGTCTCCAGGCCGGAGGGGGGGGCGGTTTCAGGGATGTGACCCCGGCCCGACTGCTTGGGTTGTCGGCCACTTCATCAAAAACGCGCCGAAAACAGTCCTACCTTTAACGCACGCATGCCCGCGGCGCCGTCACACTCCAGTAGTACGACGCTGGCGTCGGTACGGCCGCTCAGACTAGCCGTGTGGCACGACGGCTGCGGTCATCGGGTAGTCAGCACCGGCACGCTGCCAGGACGAGTGCACGGGTCCGGCCGGCGGGTCACCGGTCCGCGCCATGACCGCCGCCCCCGAGCAGGCCGTCCTGCTGTCAACGCCGCGCGGGTCCCGCCACCGGCACGGCCCACACGGTGTGCGCACCGGGGGAGAACGCCCGACCGCGCAGGTGCGCGAACAACACCCCCGCGTCCGCGGCTCCAGCGCTGTCGACTCTACGCGTGGCTGCAACCCCCGGCGCCTACGTGGTCGGCCTGGTATCGCGGCTGTCGACGGAGACGCCACTTCGGCCCCCTGCTCCGCTCGCACCGCACTGGGCGCCACACTGAGCGCGCAACCCCGCCACCCCGCCCGGCCCCGGGCCGCAACGCGACCCCCCCGTTACCCCTGGAGACGCCAGTCACGTGACCTCCCTCACCTCCTCCCACCCTCTCCGCAACCCCCACCCCTTTACTCCACATCCGTTCGATCAGCTGATGAGGATACCCGCGCCCGCCGGAGACCTGACTACCAGCCGGAGATCACACGTTACTCCAGTGCTGCTTGGACCCGCCGACCCTGAACTAGACATAAACAGAAGGCGGATAGGATCCAATCTTATTTCAAAATTTGGGTGATAGCAGAGAGCAGAGATCATACGGAGATGGTCACTCGTGGTGATTTTTCAACTGTAAATTTCAACTCAATGTTTCAATATGAAATACAGATGTCATATCCTAGACACAAGCTGAAAGAAATATATCCCTGATTAATTTTCCACCCGCCAACTTATTGACACTTCTGCGTTTGTATTTCAAAAGATTAACAAACTCCCGCCTTTGTGCCCACTACTACCAACACACCACATGGAACGACTCCTCCGTGCGTTTCTGTTGGGAACTCATTTTATTCGGAACTAGTTAAAAATGCATGTAAAAATAAATTTGTTTAGTTTTAAAATTTATTCAGTTGCTTTCAATTTTTATTTGGTTGATTAGAATAAACACAAAGGCGTCTCCATTTTTTGTGTAAGCGTTTGCGAACCTTGAAATAATTATGACGTGGTGCATGATGGGTATGGCGACTATGTGGCCGGAGCAACAACATTGAATTTCAGCGTTATGTGTAAACTCAAATTTTAAGTTCTTTGTGATTTTTTCAACGATTGTCTCTTATAAGTAAAGTAATCAAAATGAATTTCAATTCTACGGGTGGCAGACACCGTAAGTATAATGACACTGACTTCTTTTGATGATAGGTTGTAGGCAACTCAGCACTTTCAATGGTTAACAGCTACCGGTTTAGGTTATATATTTGTCTTTCTGTTGACTATACTTGTTGACTAGATTTTGAATTTATTTTACCGTGTCTCTTTGACCTGTAATCATCTAAAGTCAGCCTACCAATTCACTTGCGTCGTTTTGCAATTTTATGACAACAGCTGACATTGTTTTCTAGTTTGAACTAATGGGATGGTATTAGTTCTTGTCACAGTGTTGTCAAGTTTTGTTTTGAATCCGTTTATCCATAGGATATGTTTGTGTTTCATCTATTGCAGCTGCTCAGCGCAACAGCCGCAAGCTCAAAGCAGGTGGTGATGCTGCGCCTGCTTCTCCTATGGCTCCATATCCAGCGCCATACAATCCTTCATATCCTTCATATGCTCCGCCCCCATATGGACAGCCTGGTGCCGATATGTATGCCCAACAACATGTTTCCATGCCAGGAGGTGGTAAGTACAGTCAATTCTAATATTAGTGTCACTGATTAATACTCTAATCAACAAAGACAATATTCTATAAATAGGTTTCAGTAGGACACATCGAAAAGATCACTATTGCATAATTTTAAAAACAAGACTGCTTAAGACTTCTCTCTGTTGCATACCTGTTTTCTGATCTAATGTTGTTTGCTTTCCTTTTAATTCTTTTGACAGGTGAATACATGCAGCCTATGCAACCCCAAAATATGGGAGGGTTCCCTGGGGGCCCCCAAATGAATCAAGGTTTTGCCATACCATCCCAAGTTTTTTCACAGCCAATTGTTGCTGACTTAGCCATGCAATATGGAGCTAGTATGGTTGGTGCAGGAAGACAAATTGTTGACAGAGAACTAGAAAAATATGTTCCTGTTTCAAGACTCAAGTACTACTTTGCTGTTGACACAAAATATGTCGCTAACAAGCTACGACTACTCTTCTTTCCATTTACCCATTCTGTAAGTATCTTTGTACTGTCAGTTTTCTCTTTAAGTCTTCAAAAGTATGGTTTTATAAAATTTGTTTCTATGTTTTGTTTGTTTTTGTCTACAGGACTGGTCTATGAAATATGAACAAGGACAACCTGTACAGCCTAGGTTTGAATTGAATGCCCCTGACCTCTATATTCCTACCATGGCATATGTCACATATGTTTTACTAGCGGGTTTTGTCCTTGGTTTCCAAAATCGCTTTACACCTGAAAAACTGGGTATTCAAGCATCGTCAGCCTTAGCTTGGGCAATAGCTGAAGTTCTTCTGGAACTAATTACCCTTTATGTGACAAATATTAATACGAATCTTACAACTCTTGATCTGGTAGCTTATAGTGGATACAAATATGTTGGGTGAGATACCTCATGAATGTACCGTTATTACATTGATTCCTGATGTATTTGAACAAAAAACAAAAACAGGAAAATTAATGAGGCATTCTCTGTTTGTAGGATGATATTTGCTGTACTTTTAAGTCTTGCTTTCAGTAAGACAGGTTACTACCTTGGCCTGCTTTACTTCAGCTTATCCCTGGCCTTTTATCTGGTACTAACAAGAAATTCTATAACTTTTTATCAATATTTCAATTATAATTGTTGTATCTAATATTTTTTTAAACGACATTCTTGTTTTCAGATACGCACACTAAAGTGTCAGGTACTACCTGAAAGTGAAGTTCAGCAGCCAAGTCATGATATGTATGGGAATCCTATCATGAGTGGCCCTCAACATACCTCTGGTGGAAATAAAAGAAGAACATACATCCTTCTTTTTGTTGCTGGCATTCAACCAGTGCTTATGTGGTGGTTGTCCTACCACCTTGTCTCTCTACCTGTCGTCTAATTCTCTTTTCACTGTCATCCTTCAGTTTACAACAATCTTTGATTAAATCCATTCAGGTTTTTACAGAAATTTCTCAACATTGCATTCTATTGTCTGCATTTTGTGTAATTGCTTCAGAGTTTCATAATTTTATTTGTAATCAATATTTATTTTG